GGGTGTCACCCTCCTGCAAACACACACAATGTTTCTGGGTGCAACCCTTCCACTCCTAACCTTTGCAGATTTAGTGCATGGGTCAGAAGGGAACTTGCAAACCCCTTTGCCTTCAGCACTCTTCTAAACCTCCTTTCACTTCAGAAACTTGCCTTATCATGAAGATCCCCAATCTCCAGAAGGCTTGCAAGCATGTTCTAAGGTACTTACAGATCACCTTCAGATCTTTGTGCTGCGCACATGAAGACGGGGGGATCTCCATGTGCCTCCTTGCCTCTACGTACTTTTGCCTTCACATATTCAGGCTGAATGCCTAAAGAGGGTTAGTGAGAGTTAGATACATAACTATATTGTAATTTTTTAAAAAGCCCCGCACTTATCCACAGGACAAATGCAAATCCATTCCCAGTTTGGATATATGTTGTTCTGCTTCTGACACACAATAAAATATCATCAATGTTAGGAGCCTGTTCCCTGTTACAAAGCAATTCATATATATATTTTAAATGAAACATCCTTCCCAGTACTCAACATTGTCAATTCTCTAGTCTCATTCATCAACTGTGGCTCTCAGGTTTCAAGATAATGGCCCACTGTGCTCTTGATAGGATGCTTCAAAGGAATGCAGAAAAAACCCTAGTAATTTGCTCAGTAATCTGCCTAATGGTCCCATTATGCTTTGCTTTGTCCTAAATGTCTTTGCTGCTTTTAGAAAACACAGAGAACAGCAGTGAGTTCTAAAATGTTGTTAAAAGCATTGATAGATGGCTACAGTTTCAGCCCAATGGGTAAGTCAGTGGTCTCAAATCTATGCTAAGTAGCTTCTCACTGTCCATTTCTAATTAAGCCTGACATTTCTGAATTAAATAATATCAATACCTGCTGACATTTTTCACCACGAACCAAAGGATATAACTAATGAGGTGCTTTCAGAGAGACTGTGCAGGCTCCTTAACTTGATTGTCCTATGCCAGAGCGAAGAGAGCAATTGGTAGCAGATCCTTGTGCATCTTCCTACTTTAGATTCATTCTAATTTTGATTTATTTCTTTTTGAAAGATAAAAGCTGTTGTCGAATTTTCGACAGTTACTATGGTAATGCATAGCCAATGTGCATTTTACACCAGCTTTCTTTGTTTTGACTGTTTGGTAGTATTTTTAGCTTCCATTCCATGCATTGTCTGCATGCCATGCTAAGCCATAGTTAGCATTAACCATGGTTAAGACTGAGGTGCCTCATAGATAGTCACTTACACTCAGCTGTAACATAACAAGCTGTGGTTATCCCAAAGGCCTTTGAAGTACCATTGTACTCTTGGCTGGGTGGATATGCTGGGTAGGGGAAACTCCTTGCCAATTCTCATAGCACTCAGCCTGTTTGCTGTTGGGTAGTTGGACAGATGTGCAAGACAGATTTATCCCATCAACTTCTGTCCTTCCTTCTCCCCCACTAAAGCAGACATAGGCATTCTTACCAGTAACAAATAGCATGAACTCCCTCAGTGTCTGCTTCTGTTTCAACAGTTGAAAGCTTTCATTAATACATTTTATATCACAGAATTATCTGAAATCTGAAGTTTGTTTAGACTTTCACTAGTGCATGGCTGAACAGAATTCTACATTGTAGAAGCATGTGGTTCAACAATCTTTCAGTTATTTGGGTGTGCATATTATAGGACTTGTAGTAATAGTGGGAATACAGTTGGCTGGATTAGACACAGTCCTGCTATTTGCAGAAGAAGACTTCACTGTGATAGCTCATTCACATATGCTACAGTCATCAAGGTATGATTCTACATGTGTGAACCAGCCCTTTTGAAAGAATTTGCTCATAGATTACACATTGCCAAAGGGCAGCATGCGCAGCTTAAGTGTACTGAACTTTATTGGTAATGATATATGCACATACAGAATTGCTGCTGGTTACGATGGAAAGCTGTATAATATTTCCTGGAAGGTTTTCAAGACAAAGGGAGGGGGATCAATAGATCCGTCAAAAATGCTTTAGATATAAAATAGCTTGTCTTAGGGGAAGTGTTTGATCTAGATGACTTACTGCTTCCCTTCCATCTCAGTGCACATTTTTCTGCAGTAAGCTCCCAAGATAAATTCCTTCAGAGCTCTGAAAGATCAGGCTACATTAAATGTTAAAGTTGCTTTAAAAAATTATAGAAGCACTGTGACAACTGCTTTTCTATGAGTTCTCCCACAACCCTGTTGTAATGTTTAGAGTCCTGCAACTATTTGGGCAAAGCCGGTCATGGGGGTCCTTGACACAAAATCATCACCCACACTCCTGGCAAGGCAACAATATTATGATTGTGTGTATGTTCACATTGCAGTAATGCTGTAGCAATAACTTGTGAAAAATCATCTCTAGCTATGCTGCTGTAACAGGTCCCTTAGGAAATGCCTTTCTGGAGGCAGACCAATCCAGTCAAATCAAGGGAAAAAATACGGTAGGCTTATTAGGAATTCAGCAGTTAACATTCACTTTAGCTATAATTGGAATGTGGTCCCTGTACTTACGAAATTTGAGATGTAGCTCCACATATAAGAGGTGAAAAACCCTCATTCAAAAATCTTATACTATGACTAACTCCTGAGATAATGAAAAATGGAAGTACAGTACACCTGGCAATGCCTTTGATGCTGTCAGCTGCAACAAGAGACTGCAACAATGTGACATTTAAAGTACTTGGCAATTAAAATCAGTTTCATTCAGAAAATGCTGAAGAGTTTCTTAGCTTCTACATTGGCAATCAAGCCAACTTGCCATTATAACACTGTACTAATGAATGACTTACGGGCACATACCACCTTGTTCAATTTAATAGACATTTCTAAAACATCTAATTGTACAACCATATTTCTCTAATGACTCCATGGGGACTAACATCTGAGGAAGACCTTGAGTCTCAAATGAGAATGGGAAATGATCCCAGTTTCAAGTAATCTCATTAGAGCAATGCACTCATAGACTTGTCCAGATACTTGGCAAACATACTCTTTGCACGTCAGGAGATTTTGTACTCTGTTAATCTGCCTTCAGGATGTTTATTAGAATTTCAGGAAATTGAATGGATAACCCACGGATGGGAATAATCACAGTACTAAAGGCAGCATGAGCTTTCAAACAATAGTGTGAAAGTACACACCTGTCCTTAGCGGGTTGCCAAAAGGAAGACAGAGGAAGAATTCCAAGCCTGCTGCATAACTCACCTGGCAGAAGAGTATTCCACAATATGTCTTACCCCATTCTATCCATTCCCCCATTGTTGCTTATCCTGCCTTCTGCTCTGACTGGGGAAGGCTTACAAACCACTCTGCAAGGATGTGCCTATGACAGTTTCTAATCTCAGGGACCTGCCTGCAAGGTATTTTGTTAAGTTTCCTCCATCAGTGCAGGAGGAGGCAGCCATGAGGGAGTGGAAAGGGTAAGTTTCAACCAGCGTTCAGTTCACTTGATATGCCTGCCTGTCATTCAATTGCATAGAGGCAGACTTGCAAACAACACTGCTGAAGGTCATGCGCTGAGCCCTTCTTATATCATCTGTCTTCTCTTTTAGAGAATCAGCAGCACACAGAACACTCACGCCTTGGTAATTTAAAACAGGCAGATGCAACTTTTTCACAGGCTTCTCTCCCCAGCCCCCACCTCCCCAGACAGGAAGAAAGAGCCTGGACCCAGCACTGTGACAAAACTGCCAGGAATCCGAAAGTCTGTCATAAACAACTCCACACAAATATTAGTACAGACTTTCCTGTGGAGGCTGGGGCTGGTAGCAGCTGTATTCCAAAGCAGCCAGAGGGCACCAGGTTGGAGGATAGTGCCTTAGTATGGACTGTAATCTCAAATTACTTTGGGAGTCAGTATTTAAATATCTGCTACATAGTTTGGAAAGTTGGTTGTCTGCTATGCATTTGGATACCTTTTAAGAGATCGTAGCCAAATTTTGCATGATGATTCTGGAGATCAAGGAGCAGATTTTTTTTGGTCAACATTTGGAAAAAGTTGGACGCTGTTTTGAATTGAAATGGTGTACTGGAGCTTTCAAAACTGCACTGTTGTTGTTGTTGTTGTTGTTGTTGTTGTTGTTGTTGTTGTTGTTTCTTAGAATCCCCGAGCAATGGTATGTGCAAGCCTAATAGAAAAAATATCTAAAACTAACATCAAGGAGTTATACATACATAATGTATATAATAATTACACATGTACTGTATGGAATATTTTTCCCATGTCAAGGCCTGAAGTGCATCTGATTGCATGTGAAGTCTACAGTTCAAAGATCTGCACATACACTTAGAACTGCAAATGGTCAAGGGACTTCATTAGAAATGTGCCATGTAAATTGTGGTCTTTCCCTCCTCTACCACTGTAACTGTTTATTGGCAGCTTCAAACGCAGCTAGCCGCTTGGGTGCCTGGTGTGGGATGGTGTCCAGCAGCCGGGGGCAGGGCAAGCCACCCATGGGGGCAGGCCAAACCTCTCTGACACTTGGAGCCTCTCCGCCGCCTCCACCTCAGCTATAGGGCGGCTGAGGGAGAGGCAGTAGGCAGACGCAAGTCCCACGCTGCCATTTCAGGCAGCATGGAACCTGCAGGTGCCTAAGCCACCACGTCACTCCTAAAAAGTTTCATGAGCCCATTTTTTAAAAAAACACAAACAAACTCATTTTGTCAGCCGCCCTCAGTGATGACACCTGGAGTGGGCCGCACCCCCTTCCTCCACCACTGTTCAAACTGCAAACAATGCAGAGATTTAAATTTGAAGTACAAAGAGTATACACATCCTTTAATGATATACTAACATTATAGCCTTTGTTAAAAGGATTTCAAGGGAAGTGCATAGAAAAGAGCCAGTTCTCATCCCATGCACTCCTGCCCAATTGAAGCATTAGTTGTGATTCCCACTGGAAACCAGAGCGCACAAGGCATCATTATCCCTCAGTGAGTGGTATTTTTAGCTGAAAGATCTTTTTCTCTCTTTCTCCGTTCCAGGCTGACCTGGCAAGTATTTGTTTCTTACGGAAAAAGCTGGCTAATCGTAGAAGGTTTTCTAAGTGTTAGACCTTGTAAGTAACATTACTTGTAATGAATTAACATGCATTTTTAATGACGAGGGTTCTTGTTTCATTTTCATGTAGGCCCAGTGACAGCTTGTTCTCTTGAGCCTTCCTTCTCTGTGCTCTGCATGGAATTGATAATGATCTGGCTTCTCAGACATTGGCTTCCATTCCTGCAGACGTGAGCAATTGTGGGCGCAGTTTCAAATCTAGTCTGCTGTAAAAATGAGGCTTTCACAATGGAAGGGAAAAGGCAGAAGAGCAGAGCAGTGATGACAAAAGATAAAGTATTATTATTTTTAAATGAGGAAAATAATAAGGATGGGGGAAATTGTTCCTCTCAGTTTCTGGTTTTTCTAATCTTCCGTTCCGTTTTCCACCTTTCCACAGCAGTTTGCGTTTTTTAAAGAAGTCCTTTTGAAAATTCATCAGCATTTTTGTGTGAATTTCTCTTTAACATGCACATGATTGCATGCAGTTTTGCGTAATGTAGTCTTTCTGCAAAGCAGTTTTCTCAAATTCAATGCATTGTTGTGTGTTATTTTCTAACATGCACATTTTTATGTGTGCTTTACTCTAACGTGCATTTTCAAACACATTACTTTCATGGAGAACTGCACTGCAAATTTTGGAGAAGTAGACATTTTGAAAGGTTTTGCAATATTGTTTCGGAAAGTGCAGATTAGGTTGGTTCACCTTTAAATGTGAACTGAATTGGGTTTGTCCCCCCGGTACCTCAAAAGGAAAGAGTGCTGTGATGCTTGGTCAGGAAACTTATTTTCCTGAAAATGGGCAGCAAAGGGCCTCAGAATGGGAACAGATTTACTGCACTGACATCTTCCTTCCTAACTTGACTGACAGCTTTATTTTGCAACCAGGGTTGGAATTCCTCACTTCCCCCTTGCATATCCCATTTCCATCCCTCTGCCCTCACATTACCCAAAGTCAAGATGATTCTGTAGGCCAGCTAACCAGCCTGTCTGAGTCATATGATCTTCCTATATGTCAGTCGCCCACATGACTGCATTACAAGCACACTTTTAGACAACTCTATTTGGGGAGCCTGGCCATTAATTAGGAGGGGTTAATTGGATGAGAACTAATATATGGATTTGGCCTGAGCATTGCAGAGGTAAGCTCCCTTCCTCCTTGCTCTGTGACAAACTAATAATAACCCTTTCACTTAGAATTACTCTCCTTGAGATCTTGGTAATTTCTAATACATGGTATACTTCCTTATTTCACTTGACCCTTGGCTTCTCTCATAGTTTTTGCATTATCTCAGTAAAGCTGTAAAATATATTATTAGTTAGAAACATTTGATGATATATTGAATAGATTAATGGGTACATAACTACAGGTAGGGCTTGGGCACTTTGCTCTCAGTGGGGTCTTCTATGTGTGTATCTCTCTCCTTCAGTGGCCACCTTCTACTCACCACTGGCACTGTTGCCCATTTGCTTGCCATCTTTCTTGGGCCAAATCCACACATCTGCCC